TNTCATAGCCACCTCCTTTGGGGCTTTGACATGTACTGGAGCTGGTGTCTAATTTCATGTCCCGTCTCAAATCGCAAGAATCGTACCGATTTCACGCATTTCCTCAAGTTGCTTTTTAGAAAAGAGCCCTTTCATAAGAAGTTCATTCCGTTATTAAATCAGGAGACAACAGCTATTATCGGAGTCATGTTGCAGCTCCGGCTGCCGAACGAATGGCCTACTTTGCCGTTCTCCTCAACGGAAGGTGACCAGCCCAAAGGTGCCGATAACGACGACATCACCAATATCATGCCAGAAGAACTATGTTTCAGCTCCTTTGCGCGCGCCTGTGCGGCTAGGCGGGCTCTCCAGCGTCTGCGTGCGCACTCCTTCCCCTCTGCCGCCTCCGGGTCCAGCCCACCTGCACCTAAAAAGCCGCGTCTCCACAGTGATTCACAGATGCCCCCAACACCTGCAGCGGTAGACGCGGCGGCGACCGGCGGACCAGATCCCGCTATGTCCTTGCAGCCGGCGGCAGCGGCGTCCAGTCCGCCACAGGAGTTCTCTCTGCTTCTGACCAACTGCCGAGTCCTGGATGTTGCGGCTATGTCCTCCTCCGGCTTGTACTCCTCCCACCCGTACTCCTCCTCCTGCTCCTCGTTCTCGTCCTACACACCAACCCTAGCACTTCCATTTCTTGTCAAATTGATTCAATATTTTATTACACAACCAAACATATCAGTACAGTATGTGTTTATGCGTGTTCACAGTATCTATCTTCCTCTGGCGACACACAGCCTTCTCGACCCCCCCAGGGCCCTAGGTTGGGTGGTACCCCCCCCCTCACCTCACCTCATGGCTCCCAGGTATGTATGTATGTATGTATGTATGTACGGGCCACCCCCCCCCAGGTTACACCTTTGGAGAGTATAACGCAACTCTAGAAGGTGTAAGGAACACACACACGCTATGCCATTCTCCCATTCCTACATGTCCATTCAAACGCGTATTCCTACGTAGCCCGCGTTTCTTCTCGTTCGGCAGGCGGTGCGGATTTCGGACTGGCTCAAGCTGTGGAGGAGGGCCTGGTGCTCGGACCTCGCATCTTGTTTACGGGTACGACTTCGTACGACACGGTACGACATGTCTGCGCTGGCACATTCACATCGACTACGGACGTGTCACGCGCATTATAGTATATTTTGAAATATATTTGAAACTTGTTCGCTGCAATGGAATCAACCAACCGAACCTAGTAGCAGCAACAGCCCTCTCCTTTGCAACTCTCCTCGGTACACACTTGCACTCGGGCCACTCTAGGGTGTCACTGGAGGTACCCATGCAACACCGTCACCGCAACCCTTCATTCGCCAGCCGTCCTTCCTAAACCCAGCGCCGTAACTTTTTTGGCCCCAAGCTTGTATTTCATTTCCCACCTTTCCAAACTTACATCCTTCATCCTCTAGTGGTTGTGACACACACAGACAGACACACAGACACACACACATACATACACACGCACATACACACTCTATTCTTGAACCGCAGCTAGTTCTACTGCCCCTTCAAAAACTGTACTCTACGTTTGTTTTTTCTCGTTATGTTTATGTTTATTGCTTTTTTTTATAAGTGTGCGATGCTCCAACTTCTTTAGCAGGCAGCCGGGACACAAACCCACATTGCCACCGGTATTTCCGCGCGGCTCAGATCATTGAACTCTCGGGGGGGCCACAACCCTATGTATGTATGTAGGTCATGCTCTGAGCCAGACGGGCGGCCACGGAGACTTCCGGGGCCGCGGAGAGGAGATGTGTGCGTGCGGAGCCGCGCTGCGAGGCATCGGCCGCGTGTGCGATGGAGACGCAGAGGTAGCGTTTTTCTGTTTTCCTGCTTTTCTGCTTCCTGTTTTTCTGTTTTTTTCCTGTTTTTTCGGCGTTTGGGCCGTCTGCACCATCTAGGCTGCGCCGATTTGGTTTTGGATTAGGTTAGGTTAGATTAGAGACGTTGAGAGTTTTTTTATATGTAAAAGAAAATAATCTGTATATCAATCTGTTGCTACCTTTACTACATCTACCTCTCTTCTACCCCTGTTTGATCGGCCTACATTCCTACAGTCCTAACTTCCACTTCTTCTGTCCGGGGGGCCGGGGTGGGGTGGGGGGGAAATTGGGTTGGGTTCGTTGGGGGGCCGGCTGTATTAGGTTCGTCGTGCGGCTCGAGACGAGCTTCGTCGGGGGGCTCATTGCTTGAAGGTGATGGCTTCGGGCGGCGTTGCTTCCCCCACTGATAGGTGAGGTATGTACGGGTGAGGTATGTACGGGTGAGGTATGTACGGGTGACGTTTGTACGGGTGAGGTTTGTGGAGTGTGGAGGTGGCCACTGTTGATTGTGAGTTGAGGTTGTGAGGTGCGGCTAAGAGCCGTACTTGTCCCCTGCCACAACGTTGTTCAGAGTTTCCAAGGTTATTTGTCGAAGTATGAAGTGAAGCCTCCAGTAAAGCCTCCAAGTGTGCGTGCATAGTTGTGGAGTGATGAAGCGGTGCAGTCGTGGTGCACTTAAAGGTGTGAGGAAGATGGTTCTCTGGAGTCAGTCAACAGTCAACCTCTTTAGTGCCGATTACTGCCGAAAAAGCCATTCCCTGGGATTTCAGTTGAGAATTCAGTTAGTAAACGGTTTTTCTAACTACCTATCAATCAACTGCGGGCCGTTGTCTTCCCCAACTCCATCCTCCCCTATTCCGGCAAGTGGCCCAACCCGCAAATTTCCTGCGGCGACTGTCGCGATTATATATTCCTGGAGCATCTTTCTATCTTTCGTTCTGCCTCTCTTTCCAACCCTCTGTATCGGCATCACTCGTCTTGTGGTCGTCTTCCGAACCCTCGAAAATCTAGAGAGGGAGGGTGTAGCAGCTGACCGCTGAAAAGGTCTCTCGAGTTGCTGGTGGTCGCGCTCTGCGCGTATTTATAGCACCGTACTGTGTACCGGCTGCTACAGAGGGTAAAAGTAGTGAACAAATTTAAAACTCGAAACTCCTGACAAGAATTCCCAGCTGAGATCAGCTGCTAGTGCTTTCTGGGTTCTGCAGCTGTTGGCAGGCTGCTGCCAACATGCCAGTGCTGGTGCGGGGGGGGTGTCATTTCATTTCCGACTTCCACATCTTGTCACCTGACTTAGGGCTTCACTTCCCCTTTTCTTTCTTTTTCTTTTCTGATGCATAATGTTGTTGTTTTGCCTTCTCCTTCTCCTGCTTCAAAAATCACGACCCAGGTTGACCAACACGCAGTTCTCCGAGGCGGAGCTCAAAGCGATCGTGGAGGAGGCGGGTGCGGCCGGGACCTACGTGTGCGCCCACGCCTACACCCCCGCCGCCATACAGCGCGCCGTGAAATGCGGCGTGGCGTCTATCGAACACGGCAATTATCTGGACGAGTACACAGCGCGGCTCATGAGCCATGTGGGGCTTTTTATGGGGGGAAGGTTTCGTTTGTGTACGGCTTGTGTACGGCGGAGGTATCAGAGTATGTTTGAGTTTTAAAATGGACTCTTCAGGGAAAGGTCAACATTTTGTTGTGTGTTTGTTTGATTGTGTTTGTTTGATTGTGTTTGTTTGATTGTGTTTGTTTGATTGTGTTTGTTTGATTGTGTTTGTTTGATTGTGTTTGTTTGATTGTGTTTGTTTGATTGTGTTTGTTTGATTGTGTTTGTTTGATTGTTTTTGTTTGATTGTGTTTGTTTGATTGTGTTTGTTTGATTGTGTTTGTTTGATTGTGTTGGTTTGATTGTGTTTGTTTGATTGTGTTGGTTTGATTGTGTCGTGAACCTCCGTGTGTTTTTTTGCTTGCAGCGACGGGTCTTCTTGGTACCGACTCTGGTAACGTACCGCGAGATTGTACGGCATGGTACGGCGGCGGGGATGCCAGAGGTATGGAGGAGTGGGAGCGGGGGTTCGTGTGTGAGTTTTTTAGCGCGGGGGCGCGTGTTTGGAGGTTTGCACGGCATGTTTCGGGAGAGAGGGCCAAGGGCTTTACGTAACCGAGCAGGCGAACCAAGAGTGTGCAAATCCTTTGCCAACTTGTACAACCAACAACTACCAACATACCATTCTCGTCCGTCCGTCACCACCTAGTCACAAACACCGAGTTTACATGTGTAAACCGTCCACCAACTGCCTAACAAAAATATTTTTGTACCACCAAATCGCATCTTGCTCGTGACATGACGTACAGAAGCTGGTTGCCAAGGTTGGTGATGCTGTCGACGCGGTGAGTACGGCAGGGTACGGCAGGGTACGGCTGCCATGACCCAAAAAAATATTTCCCATCATGAATTATACATAGGG